GTGCCACGCTAGTAGTAACAAGTGCCACGCTAGTAGTAACAAGTGCCTTACTAGTAGCAACAAAACATGTTCCCCTATATTCCTAAACACACACCCTCTATTGAGCGACTTGCCTCAAACACACTACTCCATCACTGCCCCTTTCGTAGCGTCCGAACGCCCCGTTCGTAGCGATGCCCGAAATGCTCCGTTCATAGCGTCCTGCTCTACGCTTCTTTGACACTTTCTCTGCGCAGGCTGTGATGCTGCTGAGTATCCTTGCTCTGGACGCAGCAGCTGTACTGGCCAACTCGAAGGCCTGGAACCAAAGCGTTTTCTGGGTCAACTCCAAGATCGGACTTCTTGTTAGCAGCATAGTGGCCTAGTAGGTTGGAGGCCATCTCTAGTGGCGTACTGCTATAGCTAGCTTTTCACCATTTGCTCTTAGGTTGTGGCTTTGCTGGGTGATTTGCTCGCCGCGAAGTCTGGAGATCCCGATTTGCTGGTGCTCGGTGTGAACAGTTGTCGAATCGTCGAACGTATCGTGAAGGACATCGCTACTAGTAGCTTCTTGTTACTACTAGTAAGGCACTTGTTACTAGTATCGATGCACTTGTTCCTACTAGCTTTTTGTTACTACTAGTAAGGCACTTGTTGCTAGAAGCGATGCACTTGTTACTAGTAGCTTCTTGTTCCTGGTAGCGATGTCCTTTGCTCCTAGTAGCGTCCTTGTGCTTCTTGTTGTTTTCTTGTCCTTTTCAATTGCTTTGATTTTCCCACTCGTGAGGTGCAACTTCTCTTTTTGGTACAGTGCCTGGTGGTCAACGATGACACACGGGATGCCTGGGAGACTCAGCGCTACTTAGAGACTCAGCGCTCATCTTTCAGAGTGCCTTTGATGGATGTTTGAAATGGAGAAACAGAGATAAGAAATTATCCGGGCAAGAGACCCCAAACAGTAGTGTGCGTGTGTGAGGTCTGTAAGCAGAAAGTCTAGAGATCTAGACGCATTGGGGTCCAGAGAGGTGATGGTGGTGATAGGGAGTGCGAGTGCGAGTGTGAGTGAGTGTGCGTGTGAGACCGTAAGAGCCCCTCAGTGTGCCCACACTGTTTGGGGAAAAACATCAAGGCAGAAAGGAAGAAAGGCCTTGAGAAGTTAAAGAAAGCAATGTCTGAAGTCCCAATGGTCGTTCTGTGTTGTTCTTAAGGACAGAAAGAGGACAACGGGAGGACAAGACCCGGACACTGTTCTCCCAAAAGAAACCCAACAGTAAACGGCTAGGGCAAAAAGGAAGACGAACAATAACTAACCAGAAAGAAGGACAGAAGGAAAGAACAAAAGTAGACTCACTGCATCCTTGCTACTCGCTTACAGTCGCTTCTGAACCTCCGGTCTTCACTGCCGACCCTCCTCCACTTATTGCTTTTCGATTCAAACGTGCTTCAACTTTGTATCCGTACCAAAGGCCAGACAGCCAAGACGTGCGCCTAATCCGTTCCTTCCTTGTTCCTTCCTCCAAACTAGTGTTCATAGCAAAGAACGAGTCATCTTGAAGCTTAGATCTGGAACTGCCTGAAACGACACAGTTTCGGCTCATTCAACTCTCCATTCGGAACATGTCACGACTTGTTGGAGGTTGTTTTGGACGCTGACGTCACCTTCCACATCATGGACTGGATGCTTCACGAAGTGTCCGGGAATACACACATACAGAAATAGAATGAGACCCATGGATTTCGACTTCCTGTATGTTTTTCCTTTTTGAAATCCAGTCTTTTCGCAGGAATTGCTACGCTCTTCCAAGGCTTCAATCGAGGGAACGCTGACTCAATACTTGAAAGTCTTCTATCAGACAAAACATATCGCAGCAAAAATGATGCCCGAGTCGGTCAGTCACTGAAGCTCTGCAGGTAAAAGAAACCGCTACCGCTTGTATTGACCTCTTGGATCTTATTTTGGCTGCAAGATGCTTGGAGAAATCATGATTACCAACGAAGATTATTCATAAACGGCTCATGTGCAAGGTCGAGTCTCACAGTAAGACGCGACGCTGGACTCGCCAGATTCAGGACATCGGATCAGCTACAATGCTCCACTTAGCGATGGCCTGCAATCTACTAGCGTCCTTGCTCCTAGTAGCGATGCCCTTTGTTCCTAGTAGCTTCTTGCTCCTAGTAGTAAGCCCAGGAGCCCCTAGTAGCGTCCTTGCTCCTAATAGCGATGGCCTCCAACCTAAAGAGAACATTTAACTTAACGCTTTGATTGTAATGCCATTCCTTGTCATTCAAAGACAAGACTTTTGACTTCTTGGGAGCACATGATGGTAGAGGCAAGGTAGAGATGTGTCAAATGATGTTGTAACAGACTGAAGAACATGAAACAGTGGCTTACCGTACTTAAGCTTTGGCGTTCTCAAGATTAGGCATCGAAAAAGGACTAAGGACCCTTCAAAGGATCTCCACAGTGACAATTGAGCCGGTCGAGCATGTGTATGCACCCTGTCTTGAACCCAAGTACAAGGCGCACAACTCTGACAAAACCCTTAATCATTTCTAGCTTCGGCGAGCCAGACTAGCTGCCTAGCTAAGCCAAGCACAGTCTTCGCCGATACCCTGGAGATGCTCGTTCGATTGCATTCCATGACCTTTGACATGTTGTTACAACTATTCCATGGGTGCTCTATTGGTTTTGGGCGATTGCATTGCACTTTTTTGGCGTCTTTCTTCTTGCGATGGCCTTTGTTCCTAATAGCGTCCTTTGTTCCTAGTAGTAATGCCAGGAGCTACTAGTAGCGTCCCTGCTCCTAATAGCGATGCGCTTTGTTACTAGTAGCGATGACCTCCAATCCGATAGCGATGCCTCCTGATGAGTCAGGAGAGTTCACTCTTTCTTCTTGCGATGTGTGTTCCCTGCAAAGTATGGGCAGCTGACGGCTGCATTCCCCCGTGATGTTGAAAGAGGCCAAATGTAGAGGTAAAGAAACAGAACTAGATAATTGGCAATGAATTGTTGTACAGACTGAGAATGGGCAAACAAAAAACAAGCACACAGACTCATAGGACAACTGGAAGACAAGCAGGTTGAAAATGGAAGAGAAAAGTAATAGAACAGTAGGGAAGAGCAGGAAACCATGAAAAGTGATAGAAAGTACCGGGAGAAGAGTGGAGAGAGAGAAAGGAAAAAGATGGTTACAGGCACAACACATAAAGCACAGAATGAGAAAAAACAGAAAGCCACGCAGATCATATCCCAAGAAGCTACTAGGGGCTCCTGGCATCGCTACTAGGAGCAAGGACGCTACTAGGGGCTCCTGGCCTTACTACTAGGAACAATGTTCGCTACTAGGAGCAAGAAGCTATACCTCCAAGAGACATGGAGGGTCAGAGTGTGAAAACGCAAACCCAGGCAGTGCCAAAAGACAAAATATGTCTTGCAAAGAAATAACCTACTAGCGATGGCCTCCAACCTAATAGCAAAGTTTGTTTGCAGGTTGCCCTTGGTTCAAGATTTAAACGCCGCATCTCTGATCAAACAGATCAACCGTCGTGGCTTTCAAACAGAGTATCTCGGAGGAGTGCAAGTTCTGGCTGCACAATCAAGAGTTGATGCCTCAGATCAGAAAAATCTCAAGCAGACTGTGTGGAACTTGTGTTTTTGTAAACACCCAAAAAGATAGGCAAAAAACAACACAAACAAAAAGACACCGACTGAATATCTAAAGAGAAAGAAAAGGAACAGGGAGGCCGTGAAGAGGAGGTGAGCTTACAAATAGCTAGTAGTTACAAGTAGGTAGTAGTAAGTGCTAGCTACCAGTGATGGCCTCCAACATAGAAGCAATGCTTACTGGAAGTAATTGCTTGCTAGGGGCATGGGAATCTAGTAGCTACTCTCTACTCAGACTTCCTCAAGAAAGCTGTCCCTGCCAGAGGGGGGAGCTTCCTTGAAGAAGCTCTCGCATCATTGATTGGTCCCTAGATTTTTAGTGTTCGGAAACGTTAGGACACAGAGACAGTAAAGCAGACTTGCTAGGTGGCTCGTTGCATGCTCCAACCCCAGCCAGGCCCGCAAGAGAACAAGTTGATGAATGAATGTTCTGTTCCGACTCCGCAAAAGCGAGGGGAAGACATCCGGTTCTCCAAACGACATGATCTGACCCTAGGAGGAAGGATCTTCATCTAAGCCAAGCCCAACGAATCCAGGCGAAAGATGCTATCGTGATGCACAGAGAGAAGGGTGAACGAGGGTGAAGGTCTTCAGTGGAAAGCTGTCTTGATTGCCCAGTACATATTGGTCCTTCCCCAATCGCAGTGCACTGATTGTGTTATGGCAGTTCTCTCCCCGATCAGGGTAACTGTCTCGCAACCAGAGCAATGCTATCCACTCCGTGGTAAAACAACGCATCTTTGTCTGGCTGTTTGATCAGCTTGGACGCTTGTATTGCTGCGTGGAAGTGCTGAAGTTCCACAAAGGGTGACCATTTGTTTGTTGGTGCTCTACATGGGGCATCGATCAAAGTTCCTGTGGGGAACGGTGCTTTCCCGAGGTATCTGAGTAACACGCTAAGCAGGACAAATTGTATCGCTGGAATCACTGGACCATAGGTGCCAGTAGATTGGAGGCCATCGCTACTAGGTTCGAGGGCATTGCTTGGAGGCCATGGCCTTTTCTAGTGGGTTGGAGACCATCGCTATGATTTATAACTTTTAAATATACGTGATGCATGATGTAAAAAATGCAATTAGGAACAAGAAGCTGCTAGGAACAAAGGGCATCGCTACTAGGAGCAAGGACGCTACTAGTATCGAACAACTCAACTGTTCAACTCACCGTGGCCAGTGGCACGGGTGCCGCCATGTGATCTGCCAGGTTGGGGTGCAGAAGTGGATCCACGCGAAGAAAAGAAGAGCAGGCGGAGACGAGGAAGGCGCTGCTTTATCCCGTCCTTGCTCCGTTCGTAGCGATGCCCTTGTTACTAGGAGCGTCCTTTGTTCCTAGTAGGAAGGCCAGGAGCCCCTAGTAACGTTCTTGCTCCTAGTAACGATGCCGTTTGCTCCTAGTAGCAAATTAGCTACTAATAGCGATGCCCTTGTTACTGATAGCTATTTGCTCCTCAATTGTTTTGGGGGACCAATTCAGGTGGCAAGATATAATCGGATTTGGGACTTTCTTGTCTTGACGTTAGCAGCTCTTTCTTTCCATCAGTTGTTTTTGCGACAGGTGAACTTGTTGCTGAGGAGCGCAGACATTCGTTGCCAATCTTGTTGAACCATTGAGCTTAGAATCGCAGTGACGCAGGAGCCCTCAAGCAATTCAGAGCTAAAGCCTTGATGGGTGTGAACATCTTTCAGATATTCCGCACGAAGTGAAACAGATCTCTCAGTGCGTAGTTTTTGATCTGAAACAGATCTCCGAAGTGAAGAAACACTTCGCATTGCATTCTATGCAGATGCACTTAGAGAATTGCTTTTGTGATAGGAACAATTCTTTTGGTTTTGTTTTCGGTGTTCTCAGCCCTCTCAGTGCAGTGAAGTGACGCAAATGTGTCCTTGCTCCACAAATGTGGGAGTTGGACGTTTCATGGCTTGCGCCCCATTCCGACTCCAATTCACAAAAGCAGAACAAGAGGGAGACTGATGGCTGAAGCTTTGCAAGGACTTGAACTAGCTCATGTACGCTGTGAATATTGCTCTAGATGAGCATTGACGCAGCTGCAGTTTCAGCCGGTGTTCATAAGCCATGGCAGAGCCAGTTGAGGAGTGTTGGACGGTTGACCTTGATTCTAGTGGCTGAATCTACCTTCGAGGTTGCAGGCCATAGCTAGTATGTTGGAGGCCATCGCTAGTAGGTTGGTCAAATGAACTTGCTCTATTTGATCGTATGCTTCAGTTGTTTTGTTTTCGAGATCAGGATTTGCTGCTGGTGTCACAAATCCGCAGCTTGAGATGCAAGAACACGCACGTACAGGCCAGGGGTGTATTCTTTCGGCAGGAGCAGGAAAGGGCACAAATTGCTACAACAACACAGCAAATCTAAACGCTCGAATGCACTCTGCCCGGCCCAAGTGTGCAAACCGCTTTGCTTCTCTGCTGCTCGCAAGGAACAAACGACGAAGATGTGCAGTGTCTTAGCGGATTGGCAAAGCCGCCAGCAGTGCCTTGGCTGGAGACGAGTCACGGTTGAAAAGCAAAAGGAACCTAATAATCAGCAACGGCCTCCTACATAAGAGCAAAGGCCTCCAACCAAGTAGCGATGGCCTCCTACCCAGAAGCGATGGAATATCGCGCTATGCAAGGTATGCGGTGGTGCGCGCTGTTGGAAAACAGCACACAGTAAACTAGTTTTGTGATGTTTTGTGTGTTCATTCCAATTTGGTGATTGGGTGTGAGTCTTTCTAGAACACATACTTTTGTACAACGGGGACAGTTTATTTCTCTTAACTTGCTGTTTTTAGTGTTTTTAACTTACTTTTTCTCTTAACTTTCCTTTGTACTTTCTTTAATCCCCAATCTAGTTTTTGCAGTGGTTTGGTGACCCCACAGTTGAATGTGGTTTAGAGGTTCACGAAGCTTCGTTCCGCATGTTTCGCATAAAAGAGGTGCAGTAAAGAGGCAGTTTAGGTGCATCGCTACTAGTAACAAGTGCCTTACTAGTAGTAACAATAAGCTACTAGGAACAAATGCATCGCTTCTAGTAACAGTAGTACGGCCAGGAGCCCCTAGTAGCTTCTTTGCTCCTAGTAGCGATGCCAGGAGCCCCTAGTACTTCCATGTGTTTTCCAATGTTTCTTAAAACTTTTAGTCCCTTTTCTCAACTTTTCTCCTGTTCTGTTCGACAGAAACATGTTCGACAAAGAGCCATGGACCGATGCTGCGACCGGTCCACCCGCGTCATCAGCAGATGGAAGAGGCAACAGACACCGGGACGGATCAACCAGAAAACACAAATCAGCGATTTGCCGCCTGCAATTCACTAGCGATGCCCAGCGTAGGAAACAGCAACTTCTATCATAGGAACAACAGGATGTTAGAGGAGAGTGTAAACAAGTGCCACGCTAGTAGTAAGAGGAGAGTGTAGGTGTCGACTTGGCACCTCAAGTCGCCAGCACTCATCGCAATTTGGAAAGGTGCAAAAGGCTTCCAAGAAACACTTGCAAGAGACTCACGACATTAGAATAGTCAAACACCTTCAGCTAAAGTGCGAAATCACGTGCACACCCATTGTTACTAGTATTACGAGTAGCGTCCTTGTTCTGGAACGTGGAAGTGCTACAAAATGCATTGAGTTTCCGCAACTGCTCAAAAGCATGTCCATGGGACACGCGGGACACACTCCAAACGCTGATGCAATGCTCCAGACGGAGTGGCTATTAGTTACTTTAATTCTAATTCTAATAGCAAACATTGTTACTACTAGTAAGGCACCTGTTACTACTAGCGTGGCACTTGTTTCTACTAGCTTCTTGTTACTACTAGTAAGGCACCTGTTACTACTAGCGTGGCACTTGTTACTACTAGCTTCTTGTTACTACTAGTAAGGCACCTGTTACTACTAGCGTGGCACTTGTTACTACTAGCTTCTTGTTACTACTGATACACTCTTTCTGTTCAAGGAAAAATCAGGTTGCTTCGGCTGCCATGTGGAAGAGCCCCACTGGCTTGCTAAGCACAGCTCACTAGTTTCGCTGGTTGGCTCTCACGGGAGCCGTGCCGTCCAAGTGTGAACTGAGGCTCGAGGTCCGCAAAAGGTTGGATTGCCGCAGGACAATCAAGGTGCGACACTGCTTGACAGACTAAGAACTGAGTGAGAAACCTTAGCTTTGAGGTGATTGAGCAGTTCGAACATCTCTCTGCAACCAAACTGGCCAAAGTCTAAGAAGTATTTGAGCAGAGTTTGGCATTATTCTTTTCTATTAGGCACTATTAGGTTGGAGGCCATCGCTAAGAGGCTGTTTGAACGGAGTTTGACATTCTTCTTCTAATTGTTTTCCAAACTTTGCCGTTGTTTCTCTAGAGGCCTTTGCTGGGTGGAAGCAGCGCCTCAGGGAGCAAAAGCGGCAGGACAGAACTGCGTTTGAAAATTGCCATGAGTAGCGTCCTTGCTCCTAGTAGCGATGCCCGGGTTCCTAGTAGCTTCTTGTTCCTAGTAGTAATGCCAGGAGCCCCTAGTAGCGTCCTTGCTAGTAGTAGCGATGCCCATTGAACGTGGACTACGAAGTTTGTTTGGAAGAAGGGCATGGCATATGTATTGACAGGCTAATCATACTGCCTGACATGTCGTGAGCAAGGAGCTGACATTTGTTCCGACACATGTTCTGACATTCAAGTCTGTCAAATTCTGAAATATGTTCTGACGTTTGTTCTGGCGTATTCTGACGTATGCTCTGGCATCAAGTGTGGTATGTGTTCTAACAGTTGTTCTGGCATGTTATCTGAGAACAGTTGTGCCTCAGTTCTGGCGTCTATTCAGACATGTGTACTGCCACCAACACTGACATTCATTCTGATATGTGTTCTGAGGGGATGCAGTCAAGAGGGGATGCAGTCAGAAGCAACACACAAATAACTTCTGCAGATATATAGTTCAATTCTATGCAGCGGTGCAGTGTGAAAGTCTTTTTAATGTGGTCATAACCTCAACAGTAGGGTGCTTTTGTGGGGTTTCTAAAGGTGCAAGACAGTTTTCACAAAGGCCAAGCTTAATTTCAGACGCGTCATTTTCGTCGTTGCATCTCCATCATTTTCATATCATCACCTGGATAAGTTCCTCATCGACATGTCCTCGTCACCATGTTCTTATTTTCATCACTCCTCATTTTTCCGTCATAATTGCATTCTTACATAAGTGTTGATCCCTAGCATTCTCTTCACAAACAACGTGAACATCCTCCTCTCCTCCTCCTCCTCCTCGTCGTCGTCGTCGTCCTCGTCGTCGTCGTCCTCCTCGTCGTCGTCGTCGTCGCCGTCGTCGCCGTCGTCATCATCAAAGGCAACAACACTTTTGGCAACCTATATCATCTACGAGTTCCGTAAGGGTCACCGGAGATTGCCTGACAGTGCAGGGGGCAGTGCATGCTGGGGTTCAGACATTCCAGAGTGGATCCTACAAGCGCCAGAGTGATCCAACCTAGAAGCGAAGGCCTCCAACCTACTAGCAATGGCCTCCAACCTGGAAGTGCAGGACTTCCTTTTGATGTCCAAATTGCCACCAGAAAGCGGCTTGTTGATACATGCGTGACAAGCTTGGCATCGCAGCTTGTTGCAAGCTTTGTAAACATGTTTGTTTGTACAGACTTTGAGACCGTTCTTTTTTCCTTCACCTATTGAAGTCAACTGAACATTGACTCTGCCAAGTTTGATGGAACAAGGTTTCTATCCTGGAGGTGTGCTGCGACACAGGCAGCTTCCACATCTTCATGTTCTTCTTTTGCTTGCGCGCTCGCACCTGATGGAGACCATAATTCCCCAGGTAGCTGGAAGCTACTGGAAGCTGCTGAAAGCTACTGGAAGCTACTGGAAGCTATTAATTGAAAGCTACTGGAAGCTGCTGAAAACTATTGGAAGCTACTGACTGAAAACTATTGGAAGCTGCTGGAAGCTATTGAAAGCTACTGGAAGCTATTGAAAACTACTGGAAGCTATTGAAAACTATTGGAAGCTATTGAAAGCTAGTGGAAGCTATTGAAAACTACTGGAAGCTATTGAAAGCTACTGGAAGCTATTGAAAGCTACTGGAAGCTGCTGAAAACTATTGGAAGCTGCTGGAGGCTATTGAAAGCTACTGGAAGGCACTGAAAACTACTGGAAGCCAAAAGAGGTTCTTTCCTTTCTTAGAAGGTCATCACAGCTTTTCGCTTGGAACCCTGGAGCCTCTAGAGCCAAGTCTTGATCACAACTCTGTATATTTCGCGCTCCGAAACCGGTGATTAAAGGAGACCATTCCACCGCACAAGTACGCCTCGTGAGTTTCTTATTCAGAATATATACTTGCTCCTAGTAGCGATGCCCTTTGCTCCTAGTAGCGAACATTGCTCCTAGTAGTAAGGCCAGGAGCCCCTAGTAGCGTCCTTGCTCCTATCTGGGGAATTAAAGCGCAGAGTAACCTACTAGCGATGGCCTCCAACCTGAAACAAAATTCAATCTAGCATGTAAAAGCAGAAGTTGGTGATCAAGGGCTATCACACATTGCCCGAAAACATTCCAGTTGGTACCAACTTGCACAAGGCACGGCTGGCCTCGACACGGAAGGAGAGAGATGAGGCTCAAAGTTTGCGCCAAACGGCATGCTGTAAATTTTAATTTCCATAATTGTGTTTTCCCTTCTCCTGTCTTGAGGCATTTGTGCTTGCTCGCAGATCGCACCAGGCAGGAATCCAATTCTTATCCTTGCACAAGCTTGGAACCGAATAGGAAACCGTGAAACCAAGGAAATCTCCGGGAAACCTGACTGGAAATTCATCATTTTTTGAAAAACAATCTTAAACCATCTAAAACCTTTCCAGACCGTTGGGTTGATGAATTCGGCTTCACGGATGCAAACTAAGCTTCGAGAGTACCCAAAGGCCAAAGGCTTGTGAAATTCAAGGTTCCGCAGAAAGGAACACAATAAACAGGGAAATAGATAGATGTAAGTGACAACAGGACGCTACTAGGGGCTCCTGGCATCGCTACTAGGGGCAAGAAGCTATTAGGGGCTCCTGGCCTTACTACGAACGGAGCAAAGGACGCTACCAGTTCATCTAAGGAATCTAAGGAGTCTACTAAGGCTCCAGGATGCGGTGATAGTGCGGTTGGACATGGGTGAACGGAGTCGTTGTCGAGTCGTTTTGCGCTCGGGGAGAGGGAAGCACAATGGCCAACCTAATAGCGTCCTGGCCTCCTGCGAAGACAGACCTTTTCGTTCGGAAGCACATGAATAGTGGGAGCACTTTCCGTCGGAGCCTAGCTCCCGGGCCTACCCACTAAGGTACTTTCTAAGGTAGACAGAAGGTCGTAGGTCGTAGATGATAGTCTCAATTCCTTGACGCGTGGTCTATGATTTTGTGGAGATAGACGCTTTTGTCAAGCAGCTTAAGGTTATTGAATACGACAGAACATACCTTTTTGGTGACGTGATATTGTCATAATAAACAAGCGGTGAAACCTGAACATATTTCTTACAAGGTTCTCATCATATGAGGAGACGATGGTTGGCAATAGTCCGGCTACGCCGATTTTTCACAATCCCCTATGGCTTATGTCGGGCTTCACACAAAAAGGTGAAGGTGATGACAAAGTTGGAGGCCATCGCTAGTAGGTTGGAGGCCGTCGTTTCTAGGTTGGGGGGCAGAGCGGCCTTTAAAGAGGTCCTTTCTGTTTGAGAACACCGCGCCATTCAGTTGCTCACCTTGACAAGCTCATTTCGGACGCTGTCTTGAAAACACGCTTGGGCTTCTTAAGCATTCTGTTTCTTGAAACACACAAGATTGAAAAGAGCAACTTGTCGATGCTTACCGAAGATGAGGAACGCAGCTTTACTTCGAAAGGATGATTGACTCAGGTCCCATGCCAATTGTTTCATGTTTTGGAACGGCTTTGAAAACTACGAAACACCTGTGTCCACGTTGTCCTCCCCCTTGAACGAGTCAAGGAGGAAATGCTTGATAGCAGCTATTTCTTGTTTCCTGCTCAAGGGGGTTTAAACATGCATTCGGTTCAATCACTGTGTTTGTGATAGACTTTACTTATTGATTATTGAGAAAGGCCCTTTAAGGCAGGTTGGTGAAAGGTTTGATTAAAGGCGGAAGGTGTTTTGAAAGGTGATTGACCAGGGGTTCTATCAAAACAGACTTTTGTTTGTTTTAGACTTTTTGGGGTTGACGTCATCCGTCAGATGTCAACACTAAACACTGCGAAGTTACTTTACTTCGAGCGATCCTCACCCTCAGAGGTGATTTAGGAGAAGGCAGAGCACATGTATTGGCAGTCTATCCTGACAAAAACTGCCTGACACGTGCATTGCCAGAATGTTCTGACACTTGTTCTGGCATCAAGTCTGGTGCTGGCAATACCACCGCAAGTTGAGCTCAAAAGTTCTCCCACATTCAAGAGTCTTGGGCATTTCTGCTAGTAACAAGAAGCTACTAGGGTGGAGGCCATCGCTACTAGTAACAAGGATGCTACTAGTAGCTCCTGGCATTTCTACTAGTAACAAAAAGCTACTAGCAAGTTGAGCTCAAAAGTTTCCCCCGATTAGGCCAAAATTGGTAAAAGGCTTGCCAAGGCATGCCCCAGATTAAGCACCCTGGCACCTTCCCACTGCCAGCTCCCAGCTCGGCAGAAACTGTTGGAAAACCAACCCAGCCAATCTGTTTTGTTGTGTGCTCTGGGAGCCTGATCTCTCGAATTACAAAGGGGTTGACACGTTCTTCGGCCTTTGTGCTGCTTTCCAACTGCAGGCATGTGATGCGAAATTGGATGCAATGCGCCTGCGCCTTCTGAAAGAGCGTGAGTGCCTGAGGTCAGGAAACACAAATTGGTGATGTCTTGCATCAATTCAAGAAACCTGGTGTGCTATGTTGTCAGGACTTCTTCAAAGATGCAGACATTGAAGTGTTGAAGCGTACCAGTTTGTTTTGGAGGAACATTTTGTCCTATGATAGGGACACGACCCAGACAAGCACTGCCCACCTGTGACAGCAAGCAAAAGAAACAGGACAAGACCCATCCCACCAAAGACCAAACGCACGGTCGACAACGGGGTGAAAGCGATGTCCTAGTAGCGTCCTTGTTCCTAGTAGCACATTCGGGATCAACCAAGGATCGGTTCCCAAACTTCTTCTTGAGAGCTTGGTGTTTTCTGAACAACAAAACATTCTCAAAGCTTTGTTCAACAAAAAAAATCTCAACAACCCATCCTCCAGTCTCCGGCTTTGCAATAAACTTGAAAATAACACTAGTAGCGTGCTTGCTCCTAGTAGCGATGCCAGGAGCCCCTAGTAGCGTTCTTGCTCCTAGTAGAAATGCCAGGAGCTACTAATAGCTTCACCGTTGGTTATCCGGACTTTTCACATCTTCCCACTTAGGGAGATCACGGAGATTGGCCGACACACGAGCTGCGTTGGCGTGCTTGCAGGCAGGGAAGATGCGCGAACAAACTTGAAGCACGACTTCTTTTTCATGGACAAACAACCAACTTGGCACAGGTCCTTGCTTCACTGGGCCAGTTGTCCTTTGGTTTGGCTCCTTGTGCCTCATTCGGACATATTTTTCACTTTTGAAAGCTTGCGAAACCAGTTGTGTCACAGATGCCTCGGGTTGCGCATTCGCTTGCCTTTGGCCATTTGTTAAAAGGCTTCAGGTGAGAACAGAAGCAAGGAAGCAAGGAAGAAAGAAAAACGAAGGACAGAAAGGTCTACAGGACAAAGAAGGAAACAAAGAGCACAGAATAGAAATTGTCCGAATCGCATTTTGAGTTCAGGTGCTACGACGCCTGAGTTGGCGGCCTTGTGTTTCTGCGCCTGGCAGCTCTCAGTTTCTCAGGCGCAGTCTTTTCATATTCACTGACAGCCCTAGTACTGCAATGGCAATGGCCTCCAAGCTGATAGGAATGGCCTGCAACCTAATAGCGATGTCCTCCAACCTAATAGCGATTGCCTCCACCCTAATAGCCATGTCCCCCACCGCAATAGGAACGGCCTCCACCCTAGTAGCGATGGCCTCCAACTCCAACTCCTTTACATCAAGATTTCAGATCAGTTGGCGCAGATCACAAATTTGTGTTTCCTCACCAAACATTTGTTGCTGCCTTTGGTAATCCAACGCAAATTTGTCTGCAGATTCAACAATGCAGACACGGACAAGAAGACGCAATGAACATTTGCGTCTTAAAGAACATTTGCTTGCTAGGAACAAGTGCATCGCTTCTAGTAACAAGTGCAAGGTCGGAGTTCAGGACACCACTTGTTCCTAGTAGCGTCCTTGCTCCTAGTAGCGATGCCAGGAGCCCCTAGTAGCTTCTTGTTACTACTAGTAAGGCACTTGTTACTAGAAGCGATGATTCTCCCAAATGAAGCTACTTGTAGGATTTTTTCCACTCGCGTTAGCTTCCGCTTTCGCTGTAGCAGGATCCACTGGAAGCTTTCGCTTTACCTTTACTGTGAAGCGTTTCGAACGTACTCGTCTACTTCATCGGCTTTTGCTCACATGCTCACAGTCATGTTGCTCGCCATACCATATTTTCCCTCAACTCGGAAGTTTCACTTGTGAGTTGCATGACCACAACTGCCAACAAAACTGCCCTACGTTCTGCCCTGTTCACCAACTCCTAATCCGGAGAGCAGATGGGCGGATTGCAGGTTTTGCTTCAGATCCCTATTGGCTGAGCTCAATCCCTGTTTTTCCCCAAACAGCTTACTGTTGGGGTTCTATCTTAGAAAAACAGAGCCGGCCACACTGACTGGCCGCGGCCCTGAACTCTGTGGCCGGGCTTTGTCCTCCGCTTGTCTTCTCTTGTCCTGCTCTTCTGTTGTCTTCCCTTGTGGCCGAACAATTAGCGATGTCGATGCCGACAAAAATCATTGATAAAGCAGTTTGCTCTTGGGGGGAAGGTAGGGCGTACCAAGAAATCGTTTTTGACTCATATTGGTCCAAACGAATCGTTTTGAAGCTGTTTGGGGTCTATGCTGCTATAATCTTTAAAGCATTGGTTTATTGGGACTTTAGCGGTGTTGATTGTCGCCTTGGGTTTCCGGTTGCCAAAACTAGCAATAACATCTGCAATTTGGCTACTCAGTTGCTCCGGGATATATATCTCCCTGATTCACACCTTGACCGGAAGCAATGACCAAAACTCATGAGATTCAATGCCAAAAAGCCGCATTGATTCGCAGATTGGGGATCAGCTTGGGATCGTGGTTTTGAACTGAAACTATTGCTTACAAGAACGCCTCTGGACATGCAATCATTTTGTGCGGCCAGGCAGCACAGGGCCATGCCTTGCAAAACCGAATCGGTGAAGCAGGCAGCGTCCAAGTGCAAACGCAACGAGTGATAAGGATGCCGCGCAGTTTTTTCTATTTCCTAGTTCTTGTAGACCTTTAAACGGTCTTCCTTCCTTCCTTTCTTTCTTCCTTTTGTTTTTGCTTCCTTTCAATGCCAAGAAAGCATTAGACAATTCTTTGAGTGCTTGTGCCATGCGACAGAGGCGTGCGTTCATTTGATGAGCCGAAACGGCATAATTTGCGCATGTCTGCCGTGAAGCCCAGCTTTGGTAAGCAGGAAGGCCTACATTACAAAAGTACCTTGCTGCTGCAAGTTGCCGCACACATCATGCTTGCGAAGTGTTTTCTCTTGCGGGTGAGGTAGACCAAATCAGCAGAGACCACAATGCAAAATGGCAAGAGCCTCATCAAAAACGGTTATAACCAAAGAATTGTTAAACACATTTGAACACAACCACATATACATTTGTGTCATGAGTGCATCGCATTTTTCAGCCTCTGGTTGTCTTTTCAACAGTTGATTTCGTTCCCTCTTGCTTTCAGCATATTGAGTTTAGCTTAAGCTACGGACTTACACTGCTGTGTATCCCAAGCTGCCCTTTCTGTAGCCACAAATGTTTCTCCAAGGAATCTCTTCCCAGGTGTGACATTGATATTGCCAAGGTGTTAAAAGAAAAAGCAAGAAGACGTCCAAGAGAGGAACACAACTAGGTTGGACTTATTATCAAGAGGGTCCAAACATTTTCGTTGTTTCTTGTCTTGGACTTCATGGGGACGTTGCTGTCAGTCGCGCTTGGGCCCAATTGGTGTGCAGGCTTGGCACACTATCCTTGTCGTCAGCACCTCCAACCTACTAACGAAGTCCTCCAACCTATCGCAACCTAATGGCGATGGCCTTCCCCCTAGCAGTGATGGCCTCCAACCATCTCCAACCATCTCCTCCACCCTTGTTGTCTTGGGAACCTGAAAAAGGAACCAGAAGCAAAATCCTTGTGCTTTGAGCACTTGAGCTCGCGTGCGACGTGAAGGGCAGTCTGAAGGGCAGTGCTTTCTCGTCATTCCGACAGGTGAAACCGATCACTTCGGACTCATTTAATTCTAATTACTAGTAGTAACAAGAAGCTAGTAGAAACAAGTGCATCGCTTCTAATACTAAGTGCCTTACTAGTAGTAACAAGAAGCTAGTAGAAACAAGTGCATCGCTTCTAGTAACAAGTGCCTTACTAGTAGTAACAAGAAGCTCGTAGAAACAAGTGCATCGCTTCTAGTAACAAGTGCCTTACTAGTAGTAACAAGAAGCTAGAAACAAGTGCATCGCTTCTATTAACAAGTGCCTTACTAGTAGTAACAAGAAGCTAGTAGAAACAAGTGCATCGCTTCTATTAACAAGTGCCTTACTAGTAGTAACAAGAAGCTAGTAGAAAAAAGTGCAAGTGCATCGCTTCTAGTAACAAGTGCCTTACTAGTAGTAACAAGAAGCTAGTAGTTGGATCCTCTAATTCTAATTTAATACCTTAGAGGATCCAACTACTAGCTTCTTGTTACTAGTAGTAAGGCACTTGTTACTAGAAGCGATGCACTTGTTTCTACTAGCTTCTTGTTACTACTAGTAAGGCACTCGTTAATAGAAGCGATGCACTTGTTTCTACTAGCTTCTTGTTACTACTGGATCCTTTTTTGAGGCGTCTTCACCGCCTTTCTACCGCAAACACAGAACCCTCAGAGATGCCCAACCCGAACGCCATCACAATGGCAAGTCCAAAACTGACACCAGAGTTGTGTAACAGCCAGGTACGAATGGTATCCGCCAAAATGTCACCATCCAGCAGCAAACTGTGTGCACTGCAGTATGCAAAGTGGAAACGAACCAACACAATAGGCGACAGCTTCTCAAAACATCTAGGAACCTTCAAGGAAGCTGCCCCCGTGGGGGGAGCTTCCTTGAAGAAACATGAACGCATGAACTATCCTGTGTCCAGTTGCTAGTAAGCTTACCAAGAATGCGTTAATTTGCAATGACTGAATCGAGTAGCCGCCTTCTCAGTTAAGTAAGAGGGGGCTACAAAAACAGCAAGAAAGGGCTGCAGAAACTCCAGTGCTGAGGCACTTGTGCCGCTTGTCCGGAATGCCATCGCCGGCGCACCTTTGTCGGCGCCGCAATGCTCGTTGTGTTTTGCTTTCACTTTGAAATTTTCGGTGTATTTCAGGAATGTTTTCGGTGTAGTTTGTCTTAGAAAGGAAGAGCATGTATTTCGGTTAAGGCAAACATGAAGATTCCAAACCTGATTGAACACATCGGTTTGAAGAAGGCTTTGCTGTCCAAGGCTTTGCTGTTTGGAGGTTGTGGTCATCGTGTCGCTTCCGGTGTGAGAAGTTTCCCGGCAGGTCTAAGACCTACTAGGAGCCATGGACGCTACTAGGAGCAAAAGGCCTAAGAAGACCTTCCATTTGTTGAGATTGCCACAGTGTTTTCAAGGCTATCTGGCAGAATCACACAAAGGCTGCAAGCAGGGGTGAAACGTCTTTGGTGAGCAACTCAGATGACTGAATGTTTCAGCAGCTTTAGATTCAAAGAGTTAAGAGTGTCCCAAGAATCTAGAAACCACATAAATAGTGCAAGGCCTTTTTAGAGGAAGCTTCCCAGTTTCTTGAAGAAGGAGGTTTCCTGCGAGGAAAAAGACACATATCTGCTGTGTAGAGCAAATTTTTGACCTTCGTGAGGCCTTTCGTTCTTTTATATGTTTTGTTCACCGTACAAAGACTAAGGCTGCAGCGGTGGCAAAATGCTGGAACCTCAAGTGCTGTGCCGTGTGGGCGGCCGTCCGTGCTGTCTGGGCTGCTTCTTGACAAGTCTATAAGTTTTGGTTTGTTACTAGTAGAAATGCCCTTTGTTACTAAGTTACTAGTAGCTTTATTGTTACTAGTAAGGCCAGGAGCCCCTAGTAGCGTCCTTGTTCCTAGTAGCGATGCCCTTTGTTACAAGCTAACACACCGTGTAGACATGCAAACACGAAAGATGCAAGCCTCAGAGATGGTCCAGCACAAGAAGCAGGAAGCAAGTCCGAACACATGATCGTTGTAGATTAAACGTTGCCTAGGCTCATTAGGCTCATCCTATCTAGTGGCAATGGCCTCCAACCTAATAGCGATGGCATGAAGTCCTTAATTGAATTGCATATGTTTGCACTGCGGTGTCCTTTGCGCTTGCGTTTTGTACTTGATCGCTCGGTCGAGCTTGCTAACGCTTTGCTCAGTGTGTCATTGTCCAGCACGTTCAGTTTGCCTCTAGGCCAGGTTGTTTGACTTAAACTGCCGCCAAAGTCCCATAGGCCCATGGACGAAATTCAAACACAAGTCACATTAACAAGTGCATCGCTTCTAGTAACAAGTGCCTTACTAGTAGGTAGCAAGAAGCTAGTAGAAACAATAAGCTAATAGCTTCTTGTTACTAGTAGTAATGGCCTCCACCCTAGCGATGGCCTCCAACCTAGGCAATGGGACTCAACAAAACCAAAGGGGACGATTATGTCCTGTTGCCTATTGCATCTTACATCCATCTATCTCATTGTCTGTAGCCAAAGCACCCTGCGGAGTGTGCGATTGGAAAGGAAAGCGTGTGAGAGGGCAGCTTTGCCGATTTGTGTGTGCCGATTTGGGCGTCGGATGGTCGTCGCCGATTTGCAACCAGCCACTTCCATCCAACTTCATCAAATCCACACAACAAGAAGCTACTAGGGGCTCCTGGCCTTACTGCTAGGAGCAAGGACGCTACTAGGGGCTCCTGGCTTCGCTACTAGTAGCAAGAAGCTACTAAGGGCGGTGTGACGAGAGAATCCGCAGAGACAATCCACAGCCACCCTTTTGCACTTCTTCGCCGAGCGAACTTTGGCGACCCTTCCGACCCTTTCCATACATTCAGAATCGCTACTAGTAACAAGTGCATCGCTTCTAGTAACAGGTGCCTTACTAGTAGTAACAAAGACGCGATTAGGAACAAGAAGCTTCTTTTCTTCCTTTAGACCTTCAGACTCTGGGGGCCTTTCCTTATTCTTTAGCTTTACTTTCTTTATTGTTCCTTTGCTTAATTTCAATGTTTTTCTAACTGTAGACCTTTTTCTCTTTTCATTTCCTTTCCTTTCCTTTTCTTTCCTTTCTTCCTTTTCATGCTTCCTCTGGACCCTTACTACCCACTTAGAAGGAGTTTGTGCTGCAGGGACTCTCTGAATGTATCCGGTTTACCAGAACGGGTACACGGCAAAATCATGCATGGTACACTTGCATCGACGTCAAAGTGCATCCAAGCGGTTCGATCAAAGTGCATGGAATTGAAACCTGTTTTGGCATCATGCATGCTGCACACATGACTAATAGCTTCTGGTTACTACTAGTAAGGCACTTGTTACTAGTAGCTTCTTGTTACTAATAGCTGCACACATGACAAGCAGGCGCCGCACCTGCAATTTTGCAATGTGTCTTGATGGGCAGAGCCCCTGAACTCTGAACGCTTAGCAGCACACCACATCATCGATTAAAGGCAAGTCCTTACGTGAAGAGAAGGGCGACGCTACTAGGAACAAAGGGCATCGCTACTAGGAGCAAGGACGCTACTAGGGGCTCCTGGCCTCGCTACTAGGAGCAAGGACGCTACTAGGGGCTCCTGGCAGAACGCTGTTTTGACCAGGTTCCCTTTTAGAAGGGCCTTATTGAGAGGCGAATTTAAAACACTTCTTTGTGTCTATCTTTTTGTATGAGGCAAAGTCTTTGGCACCAGTTCTTGGTCTTGTGGCTTTTGGTCTTCCAAAGCAGATGGAGTCTGTGTCCAACGACATACAAAAAACATCTCCAGAACAAAACCAAAAGAAGAAGACTTTAAGGAACCGCACACCTGCTTCTTGCTACTAGTAGTAAGGTCAGGAGCCCCTAGTAGCTTCTTGTTCCTGCTAGCGATGGCATCCAACCTAGTAGCGATGGCCGGCACCTAAGACAAAACCTAAACACAAAGACTTTCAGGAACAGCACTCGGTCTCATATCCTGCACCGCGATCAAGATGATTTTTTTCTCAACAAAAGGGCTATGGTAGGTATGGTGAAAGCTTTGCCGTAACAAGTGTTGCCTTTGGAAAAGGTTTGTTTGTTCACAAAGGGTGCACGTTTCTGAGGGGGAATAGTCAAAGGGAATCAAAAATTTTGCTTCTGTTCCTCACAGAGGTTCAGCTTTGCCTCAGGCGCTTTGCCAGCTTCGCTTGTTTGTTGCTCAGGAAACCACTTAAGTTCAAGTCGAAAAGCACTTGAGAAAAAGGTCGACGCACGATAAAGAACAAACAAGGATCATGCCATGCAGGTCTTGGATTTGTTTGACAACTGCTTCTTGTATGTGTGTTTTCTCAAACATATTTGACAGATATTTCTCATTTCTCTTGCCGCAGGTTTAGGTCAACTTCTGGTGCATTCTTGCGCCGGTGTTTCAGGTAAGGTCTGAACAGAAGTTCATTTCAGGGCTTACGCCCAATCCCAACAGCGGGCCAGCAGAGTGTTCAGTGGCATCATTGGCTTTGTTTTGAAGAGGAATCATTGGGTTTGTTTGGGAGGTATTGGGCAGATATGGCACGTCAGACACACTGGAAGAGCCTGGAAACCAAGATCCGTGACAATTTCCAGACAACTTGGTTTGCTTTGACAACTTTGCCCTTCTTTACTCTCATGCAAGGATCTGGTAAACTGCGCGAGCGATGGGCCTGGCAAGGGTTGAACAAACGCAACATTTGGAAAAACGGGAATGAACAAGAAGCTAGTAGTAACAAGTGCATCGCTACTATTAACAAGTGCATCGCTAGTAGTAGCTAATTTACTACTAGTAACAAGAAGCTAGTAGGTTGGAGCAAATGAGCAGGCAAAAAGCGAGACCAACACACCACGAGTTGTGGAACCAAGGCCCGAAGAGAGGAGAGCCAAGGTGCCCAAGTCCAACTCAGGGCCAGAGACGCAATGCACTTGTTACCAATAGCTTCTTGTTACTACTAGCAAGGCACTTGTTACTAGTAGCGATGCACTTGTTACTAATAGCTTCTTGTTACTACTAGTAAGGCACTTGTTACTAGTAGCGATGCACTTGTTACTAATAGCTTCTTGTTACTACTAGTAAGGCACTTGTTACTAGTAGCGATGCACTTGTTACTAATAGCTTCTTGTTACTACTAGTAAGGCACTTGTTACTAGTAGCAATGCACTTGTTACTAATAGCTTCTTGTTACTACTAGTAAGGCACTTGTTACTAGTAGCGAGGCACTTGTTACTAATAGCTTCTTGTTACTACTAGTAAGGCACTTGTTACTAGTAGCGATGCACTTGTTACTAATAGCTTCTTGTTACTACTAGTAAGGCACTTGTTACTAGTAGCGATGCACTTGTTACTAATAGCTTCTAGTACATGCCAGAGAGACATGCTTTTATACGAACACGTAGCAGTTAGGCGTTTCGGCTTTTTTGCTGCAACCCATGGTCATTTGTGGACCGGTTCCTGCAGGAGACGCTGTGTGCGCTGCTCCTCCTCAGTTTTAGAGGTTTGCATATGAATGCCCAGGCGCAGGGGTTGACCTTTGTCTAACGAACAAAACCAATCAATTTGCGATTTTCCCCCTTCTGATTGAACATGCAGATCCGTGGAGGTGCAGCGGGCTGAGCGAGAATGCATGACGTGCGTCAGGACCTTGAAAACGAGAATGTACAAGGGCAAAGGCAAAGGCTGCATGGTGTTTCCGCTTGATTTAGCGAATAATCCGTCGGCTGGGGTCGGCGGATTTCTGAAGGGGTTTTATGGCTTCATTGGCGTGAAGAGAAACACACCACAACCGATGTGGTGCAGTGCAGGCTAATCTATCCGTCGCATTCCGTCGCCATTTATTAATCCCTCTAATCAATCTCTCGATTATCTATCCGAGTCTCCACAGACTGGTTTCTTCTTCGAGAAAGGAAACGGTAGCATTTCACCAAGGACGTGGATGACCGATCGACCGCAAGACAGCAAGCGGTCAAACCAACGTACGCCACAAAGGCTGTTGGCGGGGAAGATGACGAAGGCAGCCAGGTGGAACTCTATGGCCGCAAGCAAACCACGGTTGGTTTTGGCATGAAACCGCAGCCGATCGCGCGCCCAAGCGGGTTTTTGCTCCCTGATTTGTGCGGCTCTAAGACGTTTCAACTCTTGCTTGCTGTGAAATGTTGATGCTAGTAGCGTCCTTCTAGCGTCCTTGCTCCTAGTAGCGATGCCCTTTGCTCCTAGTAGCGTCCATTGCTCCTAGTAGCGATGCCCTTTGCTCCTAGTAGCGTCCTTCCTTGCTAGGCCCGGCCAACGTTTTAACATGTCCGTGCTTCAACGAAACCTACAGGGGGGTTTAGGGGCTTAAGCGCAAGATAGTGCAAGAATGCATGCGATGCCCAAATCCGAGTTCTAGACACAACCAACGATTCCTGCTTGTTCCTAGCGGTTCCAAGAGCAAGCCGATGCAAACCCTAGCGATGTTGTTCAAGTCGAAAAGCGTAAGACGCTCCAGCTGTCACTAGGGTGGAAGAGGACCCAGAGCCCCGTGCTTAAAAGACCTGTTCAGCAAAGTGCACAAGCACTTGAGGCTAGGGTGAGCACAACAGAAGTAAGGTGATCTCATTTGGTGAGTTCTAGAGTACGTTAAACCCTCCTTCGAAAAAAAGGAAAGATAATGCACATCGTTTCTGCGGAATTCTGAATACCTTCGATACCCGCAACAGCTTGACAGTACATGACATGATTCTTCGATAGCATGCAGGTACGTCAGCAAGCGTCCAACTGAGAATTTCTAAAAGCGCTACTAGGGGCTCCTGGCCTTACTACTAGGAACAAGAAGCTACTAGTAACAAAGGGCATCGCTACTAGGAGCAAGGACGCTACTAGGAGCGGGCATCGCTACTGGGAACAAGGATGCTACTAGGGGTTCCTGGCATCGCTACTAGGAGTGAAGACGCTACTAGGGTCTCCTAGCGGTTCTGACTAGGACCAACAGGAGTGATAAGTAGGCTCACTGCCTTAAGGGTATGACTTGGCAGAGTTAACATGTCATTATGGTTGGAGGCCATTCCTTATTAGGTTGGAGGTAGTCATGAGTGTAGTGTTAAGTACGAACTCTTCCAGGTTTCAATCACTTCACAAACGAAGGCGGTTCAAGAGTCTATCACCATTACATATATAACCAGTCTATGTTTTGTTTCTTTTAGACTGGTTGGTCCGGGCTGTTGCTTTGGTAGATGATCGTGTAGCCGATGAAGTGCCATTGAGGCACCTGTTATGGGTGGCTTTCCAAGCAATGAAAATATTTCCGAGGCTCGTGCGGTGCGCCAGTCACCTTGAGCCCTGACTTCAAATTAAATAAAACACGTGATATGCTGTTGTTTTAATCAAGCGAAGTTGGTGTGCCCCTTTTGCTATTTTTTGTTTTTGTTGAATTTTGTGTTCTTTTACTTTTTATAGAATTTGACAGCTTTTTGCTTGTTGTCGATTTTCTGAAGTTTTGTTTGTCGAATTTGTTCAATTTGTTTTTTCTCATGCGTTTGGCAATGCCGTCGAGCAGTCGCTACAGTAGCAGCAGGTGGCCATCCGTGGGGTTGAGCTCTTCCAAGGCATGGGGCCGTGGCGGCCGTGGGATTAGTAGCTAGAAGCTAGTAGGAACAAGTAGCTACTAGTAACAAGAAGCTACTAGCAGCGGTGCCCTTAGCTACTAGTAGTTTCTAGCTACTAGTAATAATGCCCTTGTTACTAGGAGCTAGGGGAAATGTCACTATAGTAGAAGAGGTTAAATCGATTGCAATTTATTTCCCAACCTAACGATTGATTTTGCTTGCGATAAGAAATCGCCGTTCTGCTTTGAAATGTACACGGAATGAAGAGCCGCACGCGACAATTCGAGCCAAGCAACGCAGAGCTGAAAGTCAAGACGGAGAAGCAAACAAATAAGCAAGTAACTGTTCAGTGTGGTTCTTTCAACTGTTCAGTGCCGGTTGGAGGCGCTTTTAGGTTGGAGCCATCGCAAGTAGGGAGGCCATTGCTACTAGAAATATGCTACTAGCTTATTGTTTCTAATAGCAAACATTGTTACTACTAGCGATGCACCTGTTACTAGTAGCGATGCACTTGTTCCTAGTAGCTTCAACGATAGTTTTGTTTTCTCAATGCGATGGAGGGATCCACAGGAGGGGCAGGCTGCTGCTGCAACGACTGCGCACCAGGGGAGTTGGTTGAAGATCCTACCAGGGCCAAAGATTCAGCAGAACTTCTCGAAGACGCCTTCGCGGCACAGAAAGCAGCCAAGGCGCAGAACTGTACCAAGTTGAACAACAGGGTTGTTTTTTCTTTTTTCTAGTAGTTTCTTGTTCCTAGTAGTAAGGCACTTGTTACTAATAGCTTCTTGTTACTACTAGTATGGCACTTGTTACTAGAAGCGATGCACTTGTTCCCAGTAGTTTCTTGTTCCTAGTAGTAAGGCCAGGAGCCCCTAATAGCGTCTTTGCTCCTAGTAGCGATGCCAGGAGCCCCTAGTAGGTTCTTGTTCCTAGTAGTACAGGGTTGTTTTTAGCCTATTAAGACATCGCTAGTAGATTGCAGGCCATCGCTCTTAGGCCTCTCAACAGTGCGACTAAGCATTGGGGTCCAGTCGGATGCGGTTTGCTATAAAGATTACCCATTCTGAAGCACGAAGCAGACGTGAAGCAGACGATTACAGACTTCCCGTGTTTACCGGTCGAAGAGGGGGAGTTCGAAGAGGTCGATGGTCGACCGTGACTTTGCACGAACTCGCTTGCGACGTCGTTTCTCCGCCGTTTTGGTCAGATGGGTGGAAAGATTTTGGCGGGAGCTCAGAATGCCGCTGGCGTTGTGCTGGATGCGCTACAAGATGATGTATCTGAAGAAACACCTGTGGATCAAGTATCGCAGCTGCATACCAAGGTTCTCTGATGTTCCCTCTATACAGCTTGCAATAGGTTGGAGGCCATCGCTATTAGGCAGAAGGCCATCGCTGTTAGGTTTTAGGTTCTCTGATGTTCCCTCTTTTTCCGCTTACAATAGCTTGCACACAAGAACGCTTTGGTCATTTCAAACAACTCTCGTACCTGCTGAGGGACGGAGCAAGACTGGAGATGCTGCTGGAGGCAGCATCTGCGTTGGCCCAAAGGTTTTTCGAAAGTCCAGTTACTTCAAAGTAGTAGCGTCCTTGCTCCTAGTAGAAAGGCCAGGAGCCCCTAGTAGCGTGCTTACCTAGCAAACCATTTTCTAGATCTCCGCTTTCAGTCGAACTTGTTTTTGCGTCGTATTTCCATTGACCTGAAACGAGTCGTTCCGCTGAAGCAGGAGCATGGGTGCAACTTCAGTCCTACATGCACCACAGCCACATCACGGTGAAGATGGTTGGTGTTTTCATAGCGACTGGCTTGATCGTGGTCTCCATTTTGGATATCGTTGGCTTCGCAAAGACCAATGTGGACTCTGAACCTTTCAATGTCCGAGCTTTTGGCTATTTGCACAATGCATGGAACATCCTCTTTGGGGTTTTGATGATCTTTATGGATGCTCCGGCAAGATGGCTGGGGAAAATGGCACCTTGGCAAAGCACTTTGTGGCAAAAGGCTCACATCCTTGCCAAAGCCAGGCCAGACATGTTCCACCGGGCAACAGCCGCAAAACAACCAAACGAAAGACGCAAAGTGATGCACATATGCTTGTTACTACTAGTAAGGCACTTGTTTCTAATAGCTTCTTGTTACT